GACTCTGCACTTTCCCTTGTTATATTTCATAGTATATTCACAGTAATATAGTAACATAGTATATTCATAGTAACAAGCATCAGAAAATGCTTAAGTATTTATCAGGAGTTAAAGGATACAAAAAATGGTTATCATTCAGTTTGATCTGAGTATTTGCCGAGTATTTCCTCTTTCAGGAGTTATATTGCCATCTAATGGCAATTAAAGCTTACAGAATTTTGTTACAGAGTATAAACATCAAAGAGCGGCAAGTCTCAGTTCAGTTGACAGCTGTTACTGGGATCTGACACATGTTTAAATTCAAATCACTGTGAAAGGCCTGTTGACATCAGATACTACTAAAAAGTGTTTGGAAAGAAACGAAATAATAAATCTGTTCTGTTTTCAGATTCTTCAAATTATGTACATTTCAGCTTTATCCCTCTAAGTAGGACAGAATATGTGATCTCTATCAGGACACAAGATTCGTCTGTTTTCTTTGATGTCTAGAAGGTTTCCTTTTTAGATATTAAAGTTTTCCATGTTCTTAACAGCGCTAATCCTAGCCACTGCTATTACACAGTGCTTCCTGTTAAATACGTTGCTCAGCTTCTCAATGTCCTTTTCATCCTGACTGAAGAGGAAGTCTTGAGAGAGTGAAGAGTACAGAAAGAAACCATATAAAGATGGTCTAGCTATCATACATCCATATTAAACAACATAAATTTACGTTTCCACAGAACTGTTTTTCCTTTCCCTTCTTTTGCATCCCTATTTAATCTTTAAAACTCAAATATTCTGGCAATTAACATTATCTCTCTTTTTCTGTCTTTTACATAAATTAGAAGGTCTTTGGGAACCTGTTTTGCTAGATGTTATTTACACACAATAAGGTAGTTTTTGTATAATCAGATAGGCAGTTCTGTCTCCTAAGACAGAACTGCAAAATGAGTATTAGCCACTTACTTATCATCATGTTCATAAATATTCAGACCCAATGCATCAACTCCTAGCCACAATTCAGTTCCTTTTTTATTCTTTATTTCAAAATAGTTGACTCCATACATTTCCAAGTCTTGTGCTATCTTAAGGTACTCCATCATAGAATCTTCCCTGATGAAAGAAACAAAAAATAGCATAGACAAATCAAAAGTACATTGTAAGAATAAGGCAACTGCAGAATAACTAATTAGAATAACATTTTGTTAGAAATTAAATATCTCTTTGAAATTCGTATGTACATTGACTCCGATACCTGTAGAGCTCTACACCCTAATACCCAAGAACACTCCAATCATTGCACTTCTTCTTTTCACTCTGTGAGCTAAGAAAATACTAAATATATTTTAGAGGTAGGCAACTGTGGACAAAGGCAGATGACAATGTTACCAGAAATCACGTAGGTAAGCCAATAACGTAACTGGAAACTCAACCCTTACTGAAGCTCTCATGGAAGTTTTTGATAAGAACTCATCCTGGACAGAATTAAAAAATAAAGCAGTTTTCCAAACAAATACACTGCCTCCAAAAATACATTCTAATAATAACAATACCTTAGAGGTCTCGGAACATTTTTTTTCATGTAATCATGTAATTACCTTAACATTCCCCTGTGTTCTTCATGCCAGTTCTGTATTCTTTCTTCCCATTGTTCTTTTGTCAGTTTGTGCTGTTCTAACACACTGCAAATAGAAGTTGTTGCTCTTAAATGACACTGACAACCAATTTAACCTCTTAAAGTCATAAAAATAAGTTTGGCTATGCAGCATGGCATATGCTTTAACTGAAAAAAACCCAAAACCACACCAAAAACCTTAAACATTACTTCCTATTCACTGTTCATCTTTTTATCCCCAACAGACACAGAAACTTTGTATTTTAGCAAATACACTTAAATAGTGTGAAGTCACTTCTGTTTTCATGGTATTCTATACTCTTTGTAAGAGTAACGTCAAAATGTGATGTTTGGTACACCTGAAAATGCAGATCTATAACAACTTTATTATGCTCTTCATTCCATGAAACCTGGCATTTCGAGCATTCCTAGAGAAATTATTTTTAAAGATAATTAAAAAAATAGAGACTGCAAGATAATCTTACCTAAGAAGTCAGAACTGTAGTCTTCCTTCCTCTCTCTTTACTCAGGAAAGGATTTACTACTTCTCCTTACATTTTTAGCAAAGTACAATGAGGAACAGACTGATGCAGAAGATACTAACACAGTGTTTCTTCTGTTACAAGATCTTTCTGTCACTCCATTTGCTACTCTGCCCTGTATCCAGTGAAATGCACTTTTCAGTGGTAGCCATATCACATTTTTATTTGCTCAGGGTGCATCCCTATCAACAGCCTTTTTCCTCCTCAAAACTGACATAGATGTTTTAGTTTTTGCACCTGCACAAAGCTGAGGTGTTCACAGCTCAATGATACAAGAACATGCAGTGACATCCTTTTTGTTTCTTTATTTCTCATCTTTAACCTTGAATATAAGCCCTAAATATAATACTTACAGAAGCCTGTTACAGAACACACAAAGTAGAACAGCCTGCTTTGGCTATAATAATCTAAAAGCATCCTGGCAATCATTTCCAAGATATTATTACATCAAAAATTAATTCCAAGTCTTCTAGGAGAATGTTAATTTATTAAAGAAGTTCTGTAATTAAATCAATCCTGATTTTTACACTGTGAGCTGCTTTCCACCATTATTTCTTCTGCTCCTCCAGCAGATATTTACAAAACATTCAAAAGCTTTCACAGCAGTACAACATAAAGCTAACAATAAAAAAAATAAAGGACAAAACAGAATATTGCAGAATACACCATCCCAGGATCATGTCCCACAAGTGCCCATCTGAAAATAAAAGCCTAGCTCCCAAGCTCTTCTTCACAAACTCCTAGAATGGCTGAGGTTGGAAGGGACCTCTGAAGGTCACCTTGTCCACCCCTCTGCTCAGTCACCTACAGACAGGACCATGTCTGGGCAGATTTTTAGTATCTCTAAGGAAGGAGACTCTACAGGACCTTCAGGTAACTTGTACCAGCACTCAGTCACCCTCATGCTGACTTGTGCTTTCCTGGGCTTTCCAAATTAAGTTAAATTTCTACTTCTACAGAAATTCTTTGCACTTTCATCTTTTTCAGTTAGAGTTGGAAGACATGAGGTAATGGGCACAGGTGAAATACAACTAAAAAAACCAAACTGTGTTCAAGTGTATTTCTTTACTGTGAAAGTGGTCAAACACTAAAATAGGCTGCCCAGAGAAGTTGCCTTTGATCAAGGAAAAGCCTTGAGCCTCTAACTATCTCTACTTAGAATATTATAGTTGGAAGAGAGCTACAATTATCTAGTCCAACTGCCTGATCGCTCCAGGGGTGAGCAACAGTTAAAACATAGTAAGGGTATTGTCCAAATGCCTCTTAAGCACTGACCAGCACAGGGAATCAACATCCTGTCCAGGTGACTCTACTTTGAGTATGGGAACTGGACAAGATGATCTTCAGAGCTCCCCTTCCAGCCTCAAGTGATCCTGTGTTGCTATGATACCCTCAAAGCTGGCAATATTTTTGGCAACAGTCTCTGGTCATTTGGTCCCTTCCACTCTCTCTACACAGGCAACTGATGAAACATGGCCAGCAGATGTGTGTGGACTATTGCAACAGAGTAACTCAGCAAGGACTTGATGCCTCGTTGCTACCCAGCTCATAGTTCCTATTTCTTGGCACAAAGCTACTTTTGACAGGTGAACATCAAAACTATGTGCTCCCTCCGTGCAGCCTGGCATACAACTGGCAGAAAGCATATGCTGGGAAATCAGTCGAACATCTGTCTACTGAAAAGGAGCCTCTCAAGTGTTTGAATTTGTGTTGTACCAAGCACTCCAGCGTTCACAGGCTGTCACCATAACTGAGCAAAACCCAAGATGTGTGAACTAACATGTTCAGTAATGACAGTTTTACTGGTTCTACAACTCCCTGCCTTCCTAACAAAGGCTATTTTTCTAGAAAGAGGTATAGACTTCACTGTCACAAGGAAGCAAGCAGTCAAAACCAAACTTTTAGCCAGGATACTTAAAAATACAGAACACTTTCAGAAATCTTTCTTTCAGTACTTCACCACAAGCCTTTGAAATGCTTTTTCACTTGCTAGAAAATTCTCAAGCTTAGTTACGCTAATGAGCAAGTTTCTACTTTTAGTCTTCACACCAGGAACAAAGCAAACAAAGCACACGACTTTTAAAGAAACCTCAGATTATTTCATGGCTCTCATTTCTTTGAGGGTGCATTGATGTTACACATTTAGTAAGCACACATTTGTCCAAGATACTCTACTATGGATTCCTCTATAGTAACAAAACTGTTTAACTCTATGTTTGTGTTGCAATGCTTCCATCGCTGCCAAAACCTGCCAGGAGCATGGTTTCAGTTGCATAAAGAAACACTACTATCATCTTGGTGCTTACTTTTCCTAACTACTTAGAAAAGTGACTGATATAAAAAATTTATACTCAACAGCAATGGCAACAATTTAATTTCTATATTTTTTCCCCAGGCTAGCATTTTTCTGCAATATAGTTTATTTGCAACCCATGGTTGCGATGTTTCTTTATTATTTAGAGTCCAAATTAGGATCTCTAAATTTTACTAGCAAAATATACACTCTTAATAAAGCTGCTGTTAAACACACAGTACCACTTAATATTTTTATTATTAAAAATGTGCTGTAATCAAGTTTACATGCAGCAGATGACGCAAAACCAGTCTCACTCACCGCTGAGGGAGAAGTCTATCATTGGCTAGGTAGCCTAGTTTATGGATCTCCTTACTGTAGTCTCCATACTTGGACTGAACAGCATAGGAAGCCAGAAGAACTGCAGTTTCTGGTGGGCAATAGATTTCATCATTTAAGATCGCTTCTTTGACTTGCAGGAAGAAAAGTCTCTGAGTTATTTCCTGAATTAATTCTTCAGATACATCCTCTGGAAAAAACTTGGCCCTGAACTTAAACTGCAAAGGATTTTCTTTCCTCACATCTTGCTGTGTTACCTGAGAGAGAAGAATAAAAAAAAATAAGAGCACTAAATGGTATATTAAATATAATTAACTCAGTAGTAACAAATTAACTCCTCTACACTGAAATCCAGTGCTTCCTGACAAACCCACTGAGGAACCACATATCAAGTACACCAATTTGGATAAATCAATTTTGAAATACTACTGACAAGGCTGTTTAACAGGTTTTTTTTGTAGGCTTGCATCAATTTGTATTTACCATAATAAAAATGTCAATAAAAAGAAGCTGTAATACGTATTATAAAAATCCAAACTATATCCAAGGATGAATTCCAGGAAGTGACAAATTAGGGTCTAAGAAGGTTTCTTTAGCAAGAGCATTTCTTCAGTGTAAGTGTGAAATTGGATTCTTTTAAAGGTCTTTGAACTACTAAACTAAATACATGTGGTTTATTCCTGTGCAAAACACATAATTACATTAATCACATTATTTTTCTAGAATGGATAAGCCTTATAATTATGATTTCTGTGAAGAGACCAGATGTGATCATCTTAAGTGTCTACTTCAAATTTCAACAAAAAACTCATTTTTATATAGAATTTTCCATTTCATTTGGGCTCAGCTTTCAGCAGTGGTTATGACCAAAGCAAACACATCCAAAATTAAACTAATCTTAACATTAAATAACACAGCGATTGTTAAAAGGTACATTCACAATAAATCTCATACACCTCAATTCCTCAGGCACTTTATTACACATTTAATTTTACGTGCACTAGTAGTCCCTCTAGAACTTCTTCACTACGCATGAAATGATGCATCTGTTTGCTTGACTTGTAGGAAGCATCAAAAACTGTAAATATGAAGCAGCCATTTAATCATGTACGTAAGGCAGCATAAACTACATTCAACATTACAGATGTCAATTTTAAGTTTTGCTCGCTTTTCATCATTGTCTGCTTCTGATTCACACACAGCATCTCACTTTAATCACATCAGTGAACAAGTGGTGCTTTTCACAGAATCACAGAACGTTAGGGATTGGAAGGGACCTCAAAAGCTCATCCAGTCCAATCCCCCTGCCGGAGCAGGAACACCTCGATGAGGTTGCACAGGAAGGCATCCAGGCGGGTTTTGAATGTCTCCAGAGAAGGAGACTCCACAACCTCTCTGGGCAGCCTGGGCCAGTGCTCTGTTACCCTCACTGAGAAGAAGTTTCTTCTCAAATTTCAGTGGAACCTCCTGTGTACCAGTCTGTGTCCATTACCCCTTGTCTTATCATTGTTTGTCACCGAGAAGAGCCTGGCTCCAACCTTGTGACACTCACCCTTTATATATTTATAAACATGAATGAGGTCTCCCCTCAGTCTCCTCTTCTGCAAACTAAAAAGACCCAGCTCCCTCAGCCTTTCCACATACTTTTGCCATAGTAAAACCTTATTTGCACATCTATTCTGTGCTTTACCACATCTTATCTGTATTCACCACAAATATTTAAATAGTAACCTACAAGTTCGAGCCAGTTTATGATTATGCATTTGAGAATCAAATGTTACAAGCTTTTTTTTTTAAAAAAAAAAGATAGATAGCTGCCTTAGTCAAAGTTAAAGAAATCGGCACACCTTTGCTGCTGCTGAACTGCACCAGCAATTTAACTTGCTAGAGACTTTCACAGAGCAACGTCTTCTGTAGTTTTTGCAAATGATGCACCAAATCCTGTAGTCTCCAATCACTGGAGGCAAGCCATTAGTGATACAAATATCTTTTGTAAGCCCTACAATGTTTATGGTGTAGGAAACAAGACACACATGAAATTCTAGGAGCCGGCTTTGGTGGTTAGCAGGTGTAACTCACTGAATTTATCACAGACGAGAAGGAAAGATCAGATAAATGCAGAGTGCAACTGGCTCCTAAAATCCTCCTAATTTACCTCATAACACTGAAGATAAAAAGAGGTATACTTGATTAAGTTGAACTTCTTTATTCTAAACAATGCCATTAATAACCTGACAACCAATATTTAATAAAAAGTGACCAAATTCATAAACAGAAGTTAAATGACCTGGTTCCCAATAGCTAGGATACACAAGGTGCCCAGCGCTGTTGGGGAAAAGCAAACCAAAAGTTATCCTACAATCTACCTATTCGATACCTAAACAGAACCTTAGGAGCCTATTTTTGGTGCCTTGTTTAAAGTTCTATAGCTGTATACATGCAAATTCCTGAAACACAGGAACTGTACACACACACACACAACTGTAAAACATTTATTCTATTGTATTTTGCTACATGAAAACCAGACAATCATATGCCTAAGTTTTCCTAATGCATGCATCATAATGGTACTGGAAATACAAGAAACGATATCTCCTTCTCAAATGAAATGCCGATGCAGCTTTGCATACTCTTATAACTAACCAAACTTAACACTTTGTCATTTAAAGCAAATGAAATTCAACTTTTCAACTAAATTTGAAGCAAGCTGTATCTATCTTACAACATTCAAGCAGCAAGCCTTATAAAAGTATATTTCAAACTGTACAATTGTCTAAATATTAGTGACTTGTTACCTTTTTATTTAGCTTCAGCCAAGTTGAGTAGCCTTTGCTGTCCACATACTGTAGCCCAAAAAACCAGACTTCACGAAGACCAACAGTTTTCACCACCTAAAGATAAATGATCCACAATAATCAGTAATCACTACAATAGGAATTTTTTTTATGGTAATTAAGCTACAGGAACTCAAACTGAAATGAAACAAAGTTTTAAAAGAAAAAAAAAAAGTAGCAAAATCTCAGGTTCAGGGAAGCATGCATCCCAGAATTGTAAATTAACTCAAACACCATGTTGCCAAACTACCAACTAGAGTGTGCGGCTCAGGGCACACATCAAACTCAGCACCTGAGGAATACAAGGTAGCAAGCAGAACCCTCATTTGAATTCACTTCTGGGAAGTGATCTGCAGACCTACAGACAAGTAAGTCCACTGCAACAGAAGACAACTGAAATACAGAATATGTTATTACTATAGTAACGAATAATACTTGTGGACAAGTACGAAGTAAGAAGGATGAATCACCTCCTTCAAATATTTCTGAGATCTTCTAAGCGTTAATGATAGAAGAGATAAGGATGATGTAGCTGATAAAGCATACATAGGTTTCCTGTAAAATCTCTGATCAGGTCTATCACCAAAGGCTACTAAAGAAACAAAGTTGTCCCTGAAGAGAGGGAAGGCCTTTTTATGGATATACTAGTTAAGAAAAAAGAAAAAAATAAACTGTTTTCACAACAGACTTGTGTAACCACTAGGGAAGTTCCGAGGACTTCATATGTGATCTGCAAAAAAGGATGAAACTGATGTGACAAAATCCGCTGTAGAAAACCTTCCATAAAGATCTGTGAGGAACAGAAAAAGGAAGATGAACCTCAATAAAAGATGACATGTAATAGAAAGAAAACACTCTATGTAAAAGACAGCAATTTTAATTACGCTAACATAATTCTCACTGTAAAGGAAAAAAGCAACAAAGCTGTTACGTTATTATAGAGGTCTATGGTATTCCCAAATCTCTAATACTACACATGGACAGGTCATATCAACTTAAAGGATGCTGCAGCACTGGGAATGTTTCAGAAAGGGTCAAAGAATGATCAGTGACGTGGAATATTTTCTGCACAGCAAAGATGAGAACTAAGGCTATTGACAGTAACGAGGAAAGCAGAAATACGATACAGATCTGTAAAACGTGCATGGCATGTAAAGGAAAACAGAATTATTCATTATTCCTCATAACGTAAGAATCAAGAAAATCAACAGAAAACATCAGATAGCAGGTTCAAAGCAAAACAAAAAGTAGCACTTTAACTACAGAGTACAATGAAACAGTAGAACTATCTTACGTGTCTTGCATAGTAAGAACACATGTAGATTCAATAAGCAATAAATCACAGAGGTCCAGCAAAGATCATTAAATAACTGTAAAATCTGGCTCCAAAAGATCCAGTATGGCAGTACTTACGTATGCTCTCAGGTTGGACCATGTTGGCAAGCTGGTTTACTGAAGGCTGTTTTATGGAAGCATTCAGATGCATGTGAAGTAAACAGAATTTTACACATAGATCCTCCTCCATTTTAAAGTAGTACTATCGGTTGCAAAATTAAGATTTTGAAAACTAGAAAATGTCACAAGACAGCTGTGCAACGTTACTTCTGATGCCTTGCGTATTTGTGTTACTACTTAACAATCGTTCAAGTGTGTCTTTCTTTCTCCTCTATCCTTTCACTTTTAAGCTCCAAAGAACAGAACACACAATGTTCATGGATCAAACTCAATTCCTTTAGTGAGCAGCTCTTTTCTCCAGAATTTCTATATAATTTACTTTAGCACATAAGAAAGGTTAAGAACAAGTTTACGTTACTAGTATGGTCCTGAGAAATTTGGTGTCCCAACACAGAAATTTCAGACCTGTTGCTTCTTTTAGCACAGATCTCCTGTATGATGCTCATCAAACTACTCAGGGCTTTATCAGACAGCTCCAAGAATGCTCTTTACTTTGAGACTTTGTACCTGATGAGCTCTCTGAGCTGCAAAGGCTGTAAGAACTGCAGATGCTCAACAGCTCTGCCCTTAAGGCATACGGAGACAGATGCTTATGCTTATGTCAAAACATTTTGCTCTCATCTTCTGGCTACAGCCCTTCAACTGCACATTGCACGTTATTTAAATACAGACAACTTGTCTACGGTAATGCAGTTACATATGCTTGCAAATCAACACTAAGAACACCTTACACAGTAGCCTGTTCTACTTCAGACTCCACAAATAAAGACGGCGCATCGTCTGTCACTGCCTCTCAGCTCAAAGGAAAGAAAAAATTCTCTGAAACTTTGTCCCAAGATAATATAAGCTCTTATGCGCTGCAGTAGTGTGATATGAAAACTAAGTAGAGAATGGGAAACTCGGGAGTTTTATTCTGGCTCAAAGGATTCATTGAGTGGCTCCAGGCAAGTCTTCATCACATCTGTAAAGCAGATTTATCCATCATCACATCCTACAACTTGACTATTAATAAGCAATAAAAACTTCTTGAAGAAAAGCAACCAGACCAGTAGACATATTTTGGCAAATCAAAACACACACATAAATAAAGCCTAGCGAGAATTTCACTGAATCAGCTTCTGAAAGATCGCAAGGGAGCCTTCTGAGATATCTGGAAAGGACCGTGGGGTGTAACTTGAAATAAAGGAGACAACTCGCCCATTCCTCCTGAATGGCACTACAGTAAACCAGGGATACTGATACTCAGTGCTAACACCTTATTGAAAACTACAAACAACGCCCACCATTACCATCAGTGTGTGGAAACGAACCCACCATAGGGGTGGGGTTCTTCTTCTCCTAGGAAAGTTAAGAGATGCTAAACCAGTTGACTAAAGGAGGACAGATCATCTCTTGCCCATTCTGACCATCGACAGGATAGACAGAAGGACTAACAATAAATATGTTAAGACACTTTCTGAAATATGAGTAATTTTTCTAAAATGAGTTTGTGAAATAAGAACTTTACTGAGTTTCACAATGGAAGAGAAAACGAGAAAGCCACAGACGTCAAATGCTGAATTCTTGTCTGCTAGCAGATGAAGATGATGAACACACACATAGAACAGGAAACAAATCAACAACTCCAGAAACAAACCAACACACTCCAGAAAGAACCACTGACTGAATAGTTGTTCACCGAAAGCATGGAGGAGTGTTAAGACAACAGCTAAATTCATGCAGAGGTTATTTTCCACAAGCAATAACTAAGTCGACTGCCACATCCACCATTTCTGCATGAACCTTAAAGACCAATCTTCTCAGTAACAGTGCTACTCAATTTTCTTTCTATAGAAAAACAGCAGAGATGTCAAACACCACACAGTGAATTGAGGAACAAAGCTGAAGAGAGCATGAAAGAGAATTCAGAGCTGTATCTTTGTTCCCTGATTGTGAATGCCCCAATTTGGATGAACCTGATTACCTGGGCACAAGATGTTACACAGCAGAAGGTCACCCCACCCCATACTGCGTGGCAGAAGATAAAGGTTGGCAAAAGACAAGTAACTGCTCACGGCTTCCATGCCACAGAATACTGTACATTTTATTTGACTGTAGTGTTGGTTAGACAAAAAGTATGGCAGCCCCTTTCTTCAAGAAGTCTTTGTAAGAGTCCTGGAATCTTTTCCTACTAAGCAGCTGAAGATACACTGCCACTGATATTAGAGAAAGCAGCAGGGGGTAGAAGTGTTAAAAGTCAGACAGCCATTTCAAACAAAAATTGCAAGCAAAATTTCACTCACCTAAAAGGAAAAAGCTCAGTGTTACAAAACAATAAACATTCTCCTCCTTTCATCTTAGATACTAAGACACTTCACTGATTCTTCAAGGTCAATCAGAACTTTAAGAGTTCTTTAAGAACTATTTCAATGTGTGACTTTCTCTTAATACCCATCATTACATACTCTAAGTACCTATAGTGGAACGGACAGAAGCAACAGCTCTACAAGACAATGGTTGATCTAGTTAAACTGGTTCTGAAGAGTTATTTTGAATATTTCTGCATTTTTAAGAAAATGTAAACATCTTGGATCTAGATAACATAACATATTTGTAGGTTTCTCAAGGAAAAACAAAGTGACACATTGACAAGCTTCTATTCTTAACCTTTTTGAGAACACACCACAACCTAGATCAAAAAATTGTTTCAGGGTTCTGCTGGCTAACATCGCATGAAATGAATGCAAGAACAAGCCTTTCAAAGAAATCTTTCATTTACCCCATTTGACTGGTGTACAACAGAGACACTACCAAGTGAGAATGTGACATTCTGATGGGTCTGCAATCCACAAGCACATTAAAGCCATAATTTTCACTTTTCCACTTAAGTCTTTTTATTTTATTTTATTTAACTTAACTTAAATTTCAAACTGGATCATAGGAAATTACTTTTGTAACATGTGGAAATGGGAAGAGTATTTACAGCTTCCACCCTTGGAAAAAAAGTAATAAATAAATAATAAAATAAAACCCCAGTAATTTCAAAGCAGTTCTATACACATGAACTCAACTGAAGACTGATTTTGAATTTAACACATTCCATGAGAAGTGATGAGGAAGTTTAACTAAGAGCACTGCTTAGATAATGAAAGGAAAAGCATACTCTATACATTAGAACACTTATGCTTTCTCAAACTATGCCTTAATACCCACAACAGTTTTCTGTGTTTGTACACATACATACACAGTGATGTATAAGTTACCTGATCGAAGAGCTGCTTGCCTGTTGTATTGGGCTGGATGGCAAATTCCAATTCTGCATCCATCGTGGTTACTCTGACATTGATCTACAGAAAATAAAGAAATATTTAAATCATACTGTAACAGTGTAATGCTTCTATATACGATTAGCCTGTAAGAAACAAATTTTAATCTGCAAAGAATCCCATCTTTCATTTAATAAAAGCATACTCAGGATAATATTTACCACTAGGCTTGAAGGTCAAACCAGGGAATAAAGTTCAAAATCAATTTAATGGGATAGCTGACATGACTACTGAACACTCAAAGAACACTGGGACATTCAGCTGCTGGGCATTATGTTTCAGTGGGCTTCCCAAATACGTGCAAAAGAAGTTCCTAGTCATACAGATATCATTTTAAGGTATTTATACTTAGCAGTATAAAAAGATAAGCAACCTCCTGCCCTACCATTTCTAAAATTACAAGGTTCAGTGGTCTTAAAGTATACAGCACTAGAGCTTGTATACCTCAGAAAGTACTAACAGCCCATCTTTCACCAATGGAAGGAAGAACTAGAGAAGTTACCTCCCGTTAATGCTGATCCCATTCAATTCCCTTATTGCAAGACTGAAAACCTACGACTATTCAATTAACTTGTTCCTTCTGAAATAGAGGGCCATTTTCCAGATAACTCCTGACAGTTGCTGTTTTCATTTGTTCTAAAACAAGCAGTCAAATACTGTAGGAGATAAAGCCAACCTTACTTGGAAGTACAACAGTCTGTTCCAATTTCTCTTCAACTGGTACACAGAGGAGTGAGAATTTTCATGAAACAGAGCAAAGTACTAAATGCACAGTACTGTCTTCTCACCGTTAGAACAGTCTTCCATTCCTACTGCCAGGGTATCACATTTTATTTCTCTTTACCAAATAGGAATATAAACTGTTAAAGGTCAAATCTACTTTGCCATAAATGCAAAAACCAGAAACATGAAACTTAAGGCACACAAATACATTCTAATCTCTTTCTCTCTACTATAATATATGGAACAGGAATAAATTAGGACTTGTATTACAGGTTTTTACACTACTTGATCTATGCGTGTACAAACCATTACTTCCATTAACTGTTTCTCTAATTTTGCCACCAGGTGGAATACTTTGAGAAGTGAGAGTCTGGAAATGTCTCCACAAGACAGAACGCAGAAGGGAGATCTAAGGTGTGAAAAAGAAAACTGGACAGAAGCTTGTCCCCATGCAACAGATTCAGCTTGTTCACTCCTTTTAGTGTCGACTTTGGGCATGAATTGGATACACAAGACAAGAGTAGCAGGAGTCTGAGGACTTTAGGTTATAGACCTGCAAACAAGGAAGATAGCAAGGGCTTAGCAAACTTTTTGTGTGTGTGTGTGTGCAAACACTGATAAAGAACAAGAGTTGAAGGCTTTGGAGTAAAAGATAGTAAACTTTTATTGCCAAAAAGAAAAATTAGAGGGTGTGTCAGGAGGAGGGAAAAGAGGTGTTTTCTGTAGATGCTCTCACTCTGCCAGTTTGAAGAGGGGAAAAAAATGCTTATTTTCTAACAGAACAGCCCATTTTAAATGGTAGGTCTAACCCACTGCCAGTTGTACTGGTTTAAGTGTGTGGGGGTTGCCCCTTAATAAAAAGAAGTTAATTGTTTTAAAAGCATTTTTTCAATTTTAAAAAATGAAGCCTGCTTAGGGCAGCTACAAGTAAGCAAGTTATAAAGCATAAGGCTAAAATGTAACTTTATTAAATGCCAAAGTACTCTTATGTAACAGCACCGCTGCCAAACAAGCAGCGTCAGAGAAGACCTAAAAGCACACCAAGTCCAACTAATCGCAGCAGACTTCAGAGCTGCAGCAGAACCTTCTTACATAAATATCCTTACAATACATATCAGCTTCCACAAATGCAAGAAATACTACCTGATGTCTATACCCCTCACAGGAACTAAAATACTCAAACAGCAGAGTAAGAGATGTAATACAGAGGCAAACAACACAGCCTGTAGGTGCTGACTGCTTCTGGATGTTACTGCCTCAATTAAAAGCAGAGTACAGAATGCTACACCTTCGATAGATAGAAATACACATTAGCAGTACTTGGTCACTTATTAACATTACAGTAACTGCTTAAGTCTTCAGCAATTTTCTTTTTCTTTGAGCTTCCTATTATCAGATCACCCAACTGCTAATTAATATGTGCACTTTCAGTTCTACTAAGAAAGTCTCACATTAAAGTGACAGCAATATGAAAATGTTACCTTTTATGATATGAGTTATTTAGGAAAAGACATACAAAGTTAATACTACACTTGATCATTTTCTTTCTGAAGACATTCAGACTGACTTGGATTTTTGGCGTACAAACACTGAGCTTTTACAACCTTATAACATTGTTTCACAGCTTCAGTTATTTCTGGGCACGGAAAAGAAGAAAGTTACTTTTGGCAAAATCTAAGGCTAAACCCAGAAGGTTTATACTTATCTAATCCAAACCTCGATCACACAGCGCACTCTCAACAAAGTCAAACCTCCAGCATTAGTTGCACTGTCAGTAAAACAAAGCTAACCACTACAGTAAGAATAGTCATGGGGGAAGTTTCTACATTATAAATAAGGCAGGGAATTGAGAAAATGCAGGCAGAGAAAGGCCCAGTAAATTCAGCCATGGGCTGTCTGTCACTCATGTAATCTGCTGCTGGGTATCCAGCTGCTTTGAAGCAACACTCCTAATGTGGCATTGGTAACAGAGGGAAATCATCTGAACCACAAATGATGCAGACAGAAACTAATCTGAACATTATGACAACCAGCTTTACCACATGAATACGGAAACAGGAAGGAGCTCTCGCAATGGTGACAAGAGAGATGTACAGAGGTTTTCTGCAGCAAGTGTTGGAAGGCTCCCACTCCTCACACCAGAAGACCCATTTAATGCCTGCTTTTCAATCTTGCGTTCACCAGGATTACACATCTTCCTTCAAACTTCAGAAACTATGATAAATCACTAGACAAGACTTAGCCAATTACTTCAGCTGCTCAGCCATGAGGCAAATCTCATTCTGCTGTGCACAGGCTCAGGGCAAGAGCTGCAACAAGTCTCATTTGTTATATTCATATGTAATTTTGACTAAACTCTTGAGCAGATGCCTTCTAAGGATCCTACTCTGGTAAACTAATCAAGAAACTCTCTAGATGGTTCTGCAATCCAGAGGAGTATGCCTGAGCAAACATCCTTTTTTTCCCCCCTAAGATTAAAAAGTGGTAACATTCTTTTTGATGCCACAAATTAACAATTTATATCATTTATTACTGACAGAGCAATCTCTATGCAAATATTAAATATTAAAATATCATGATGGTCAGCTCTGGGAAATACTTCAAAAAATCATAGAATCACAGAGTGGTTTGGGTTGGAAGGGACCTCAAAGCTCATCCAGTCCAACCCCTGCCATGGGCAGGGACACCTCCCACCAGCCCAGGCTGCTCAAAGCCCCATCCAACCTGGCCTTGAACACCGTCAGGGAAGGGGCATCCACAAAAATGCTACTGGAGGCTTAGTAACTGGGTAACTTAGACTTTGTGAATCCTCTGACAAGGTCCCTCTGGAGAGGGATCTTCCCCCTTCTCCACAGATCAGGCAACATCATATCCGAACAGCAGCTCTGCAATGACAGACACAGATGACACCTGGCAATACAGCACTTCTGGACCAGCCCTCTGGCATCCAGCACCAGAAATCACTGATTTAGGCCACTGTACACAATAAATAAAAAAACCTCACACACAAACCACCACAAAAATCAACCAAAACACTCCAATGCTTCCAACACCTAACCCATGAAGCTATACATGGTATTAATGCAGAGGATATAAGACAGCTTTCTCAGCTCCCACTTTAGATAAACAACCATACTGATGTTCATCCAGAAAAGCTAGGATAAGAAGCACACTCTTGTGCTGGGAAGAAGGTGGCATTAAAAAAAACCCATACCAACAAAAAAACCCCACCACCCACACACAATGTATGAACGCCTCTAGGGTTTGTCTCTTTCTGGCAAAATTTTACCCTGACTATATTACCTTTATGCAACTGTATGTGAAATTACACAAGCCAAGCATCTAGACAAGCGCACACTGTATTTAAAAGGCCATAATGGAAACAAAAAAAGGGCAGATTAATGAACAATTTTAATTTTTACAAAATTCTAAAGGAAGAAAATGCTTAGCACTAAGTTTTAAGAGTGGCTTGCTGGATAATTTTTAAGAATGCATTTTATAAGCAAAGCTGCTGTAAGAGGGTATAAAGAACACAGTGAAGTTTAACATAACATAGCAAAGTGTCTGTTGGATACTTAGGAAAACAATACAGCAAACTTCTCTTTTAGAGCACCAAATCTCTGTTAAGAATACCAACACCTACCTCACAGCTCTTAAAGTTACTGTTTAGCTTAGCTCATTTGGCTATACAGAACAATATGAACGGAAGGCCAGAGACAGAAATCTTCCACCATAAAAGGATCACCAAACATTTGGAAAAGAAATTACAGAAAAAGTACAGTTTTTCCTTAGTTCTGACAAAATTGCTTTGTCTCAATATCTGAGTATATATACATATTTTTTTAACCTATTTCTAATAAACTTTCCCCAAGTAATAATGCTTTAAAACCCCTGCACTGTGACAGTTATCTTCTTCCCCTTGGTATCCAAACCAACAGTCTGAGTTTATCTGTATTTTATCAGACTTATTTCAGAACACAGGCAAGAGAAAGTGAAGAACACATAGATACATACCGATTGTTCTTTGTGAAGGGAGCAACTGATGTTTTGATAACAAATGTCCTCATAACTCATAAGCAACATTTGATATAGCTCACAAAGCAGTATTTCTAAAAAACAACCTAAAGCAACTTATCTATGAAAGAATTTATCCAAACCAATAGAGCAGTCAAACGTACCTGGAACAATAAACACCCATGTGCACATATTAAAAGCATGCATTTCATATGGGAATTGTAATTTTGCTGTGTTTTTGTATTATTCTTTATTTATTTATTTATTATGCTTTAAGATATTAAATATTTCTACACTTCCTTGTAGTATCTAGCTTTGACCTTCCACAGTTTAATGGGATATTACACAGTCATCTCATTAACCTTTGGACCTTTCCTCAAGCATAGATACACTCCATAGAATATGCACAAAAACTGTTAGCTTAACAGTCTAATACTTTGCATCATTCACAGAGATTAGTCATGGCACTTCAGCTTCCATCAGGGAGCCCAGAACTGAGTAGGTACCAATATTTAGTAAGAAAGTAACTTAATATTACATGAAAAAGGTTTCCAGTGGTTTTGCTTTGCTTTAATAAATGCAGTATGAATTAGTCACATGTAAAAGCCATAGAAACCAGATCAATTCCTATTTATAAAGAACACTGCATATAGCAAAACAAAGTTTCTTCCAAGAGTTTCTTTACAGTAGTTCAGCTGACTGCTACATCAAGTTTGGATATGAAATGATTTCTGCTAAGGAGTAGCAGTATATTGGTCCCACTGCTTTACTCACTGCGCAAACATACACAGCACATTCTCCACATCAACCTCAAAGCAGACACAGGAAGAGATGCAAGAAAAAAATTAATGACAAAAGGTAAAACGGTAAGGATTAAACAGCATTAGGAACTGAAGGGTACAGAATAATGGCAAACAGATTTTACTAATAAACAAATCAAAAGCAAGCAGTCCTCCAAACTGACGAGTTGTCTATTTATGCTGCAGAAATAAGTCATATATGCAAACCATAATTAAAATACTGCAATACACATCTCACTTTCCTGTAAAACAACTCTAGTCAAAAAACAAACTTATATACTACTTCAACAACTCTACAGAAATTAACATCTTGTAAATATTAATTCAAATTTTAAACATCCCTATCATTCCACAATTGGATATCTACTCATTCTGAATACACACTATCGTAAAATGTTGCAGAAACCTAAAAAAAGAATTCTATTTTAATCTCGGTAACGTTGACATCTACCCCTATTGCTACCCAACGTAACGCTTCCTCTTTCACGCCTCGCAGTCTTGTACAAAAATGCTGCAAGCTACCAGCAAAACCAGCTGATAATTTTAACTCCTCTTCCACCCTATAAATGCAACTAATATTTCAGTCAATTAAACCTAATCTTCTTAGCCTATGAAATGATTAACAGTTATGCAACTAATTATGCCTAATTTTAGTTTCTATGTTTCTATTTTTGGTGATGATCTGGGAAAACAGTATACAGCTGAGAAACATTTTGAATCTGTTCTTTTAGGAAGAAAGCACTGAAAATAAAGATTCAACAAATACTCTGTTCTTCAGTAAGCAGAGAACTAAGCACACTGAAAACAGCCCTATTTAACAGCTCTAAATTTGATTACAGCAGCAAGAGACCTAATTAAGCAAAGAAGTCACCAATTTTTTTCAGATGGATCATAAGCTAAATGAAACTTAATTTTGCACTGCTAGGCAGAACTGAGAGTATTAAGTCTCAGAACTATTGTTTTAAAAGTAGAGAAGTTGAGTGAATTGTGTGAAAGAGAGAGAGCCACTTTTGGCAAATACAGCCAAACTGTACAGACTTTTCCACTGAAGCAATCAAACAAGAAAACGTTTCAATAATGTGTATTTTTCAGACACATTGCCTTAATATCTCAGCATAATATATTAAAGTTGCTTTCACACTTTCAAAACAGCCTTTTCACTCAAGCTATTTAACCCAGTAGCCTATAAAAGAGAAAACCTCAAGGATATAATAATAACCTTTTACTACTACATATAAGATGATCATCCAGAGTGGCACAAACCTTATTTCAGACAGCCTCCAAGGAAAAATGAAAGATCTTTGCTTTAAAACTCAACTATGCCAAGATGCTTTACTGGTCTTCATTTACTTAATTTTGTTTGGAATACTACATAACTTTTCAATGTGACAGCAAAAAGTGAACCCAAACATCTACTGTTTGCTGATTTTGCTTAAACCTATCTATAGCTTCTTTGTTATCATAGAATATCTCAAGTAGGAAAGCACCCATAAGGATCTTCAACCTGCAGTATTTTGTTATGCATACAAAAAAAAAATCCAAGCTTTTTGGAATGAAAATTTACTTATAGTTGTACTGCACAGGTTCACATATTTACAAGATGACCAGATTTTTCTGAAAATTAATCAATGTAATAATTACAACAGAATCTGGAGAAAAAGAAATATACGCACCTATGTAGGTTACATTAATACAGAGAAGAAAGTTATAAAATAACACTGTCAAAACTCTCACCAGTTACCGAGTTTTCTTAGTTCTATACAATCTTATCCACAATTATTTCTTATCGTTTTCAGGTTGAAAGGCCTCCAAATAATAAAACTAGTTAATACTGACAGTCTTATTGCAACAGCTGCCAAGAATAAAGAACAAGGAGTTGAAGCCCAAGTAGTTTCCAGACTAGAAGTACATTTGGTTATTGCAAGTTGTCTTTAAAGACAACTGGTAAGAGCTACAGTGAATGTCCAAAGCAAGAGACCTTCTCCAGTCCAGTACTATCAAACCCCACCAGAACAGCACAACTGTCAAGGAACAATGTCAGATTCATTAAACACAAGCAGTGACTGGGCTCTTACAGACTCCAGAAGGAAAAATAAAAAAGGGGGCAGAAAGTCTCAAAGCGACCTACCATTGAAGAAGTAGCCAGAGCAAAATCTGAGGTTTTATTTTTATAGGTAAAAATCACTTAATCTTTATCATGTGCGCTACTTCTTCATTCAACGATTACCAATTAGAATTACAGCAACCTGTCATTTACCGGAAGAAATCCATTACATTTTTTGAGACATGTAATCAATTCAATTTCATTTTGTAATGGCTCCTTTCACTTGGCTTCCTTCTAAGATCTCACATGCGCCTACATTGTCAGGAGACATGAGAACATCCCAACATATGAGAACCCTTTATATAAAGTCCCTCATTAAAAGGCAAGAAGAAAAGCTCATCCTCAGCACAAATCATCTTCTTTCCTAAAATCTAGTAGCTAGACTGTGAGCTATTCCAACACCTCTGCAATACCAATTTTAAAGATATTAGTTTTCTTGTGAACAACCCTAAAACTGTATTTCTTACAATTTTTATCGGTCCTTAAAACAGAGAGAACCCTGTCTGCTTACATTTCATGGTTCCAATCCCAGAACTTCATGCTCTAACCTCCTTCAGGCTGTCTTTTTTCCTAGTCATCACTTCTGTGACTTCATTGATCTGTAGCTGGGTAGAGCTGGGGGCCTCAGGAACCACATGGGCTCACAGTGTGTTTTTGCCTTATTCTCAAAATACAGTTTTCCAGTTGAGAAGCTCTATCAAAGGCACTACTCTATCATAGTCAGGACTCAAAAAGGTCAGAAAACGTATGCTGCTAATTCATTTTTCCTTCCCTTAATAGTGCAGTTTTCTGCAAGGCGGCAGCAGGATACAAATGACTACTTCCCACTTCAGAAAGTACTAAGACATCGCCCCCAGTCCACAGGAGGGTGGGGAAGAAGAAGTTACAGAAACAATATGGTATTGGCTAGTTGGTCAGCAGACAAATGGCAAAGCTCAGAACATAACTTCCAGCCCTTGGACAAGTCCTGTGCTCACCTTATTCATTAAGCAGTACCAGTTTCAACACTGGCATGCAATAGACTGTTTATACTGGTAATGATTAATAGCAAAAACCTTTTATATTTCTATGTATGGATACATATATGTGTACATACATGTATACAGACATTTATTCTTAGTAATAGATGTGTCCTGCTCCTAATTTACTATCTCAATGAAACCTCAGTAAACAAAGAAAGCCTGAAGGCTATTACATAAACCAATTGAGTTGAATAATCTCCCCTGACAATTCAGTTCCCTTTCTGAACACTTTGCTCACTGCATACAAGCGGAACAGACGACCAGAAATCATAACACACAGTAGATGAAATAATAAGCAACCAATATTGCTTCAACAGCAAAAGAATCAAGCTGCTGAATAATTCTCACCTTAAAGAATTCTAGAACTATTATCAAAACCAAAGCTGGAGACTTCCCCCTTCCCCACCTCCCCCCCACCCCAATAGAAACTGGATGAACTTTTAGCTGAAGTGAGATGAACAGGAGACCAAAACATGGCTTCTCTCCTCCCTTCTACACTTACCTTCTAGGTTATACCCTCTACCATGGCAAACCTACCACCTAACTTAGCACTGTTGCTGTTACAGAGCCTTTACACATGTTCTGTCTTCCCCTGCCAAATTCTGCAGCAAATCCTTCCACTGATTCTCACAGACACTGAGTCAGGCTCAAATTATGGCTCCACTAACCATTGTATGTCACCTCATCTCAAAGTCAACAATTCCTGAAAAGTCATCCCTCTTGCCAGCCAAATGGGCTCTAGCTTCATTATGGTTCAGAAGTACAGCCTCCATCTCCAAGTGTGCTCCATGCAACCTGCAGCCCCAAGATTTCTCAATCTTCTTTCACATGTCAGCATTAACCTATCTCAACTCCAATGAAACATTATCAGACCTTATGAAATCTAGAAAGGGCAGAATCAAAACAACTAAAGCTATGATAAGATCACCACTCTAAAACATGAAAAGCCTGTTAGATTTTAGAAGAATAAGCTCATCTGGAGTAAGATGAGAAGAGCTACTTACTGGTTTCGGCATTTTTCTTCCTTTCTTTAGTCTCTTGTCCTCTTAAGTCTTCCTCAAACTCTTTGTCCCCTTCTGAAAAAGAAAAAAAGGTTGGTTTTAAATTAATCATAATAGAGTTCATGTACATCATGTTCATCACAGCAAATAGCACAAATCCCAAAGCAGGTAAACAAGCGCTCTACATGTAAAAAAATATTTTACAGTAGATCACATAAATAAAAAGCAACTAAGTTAGCCAGTACTAGAATCTACAGGTCTTTAAGTAGTAACTGTCTTTCTAGTTATTGTAGAATAATAATCCACTAATGTTAGAATAAAAAGACAACAGTTCCCCAAGTGCTACAAATTCTTTTTAAAACTTTTTATAGCAGCTGATATCAAGATATCAGCTTCTAGTATTAAAGGCTTTAACATTACTTACAAGGGAGTAAAATTTGTACAAGGAACAAAGCTGTAGTTTAATCCGTCAACTCTAGTCAAACTTGAAATATTATTAAAAGAAAGAAAAAAAACAATTTTGAAGCCTCAAAACTATATTTCATGTCTATAAAAGCATCCATTTCCCACAGTGAAGGGATGATATGGTCATTTTTCCCAAATTAAGAGAAACGCAAGTACATCACACCACAGTTTTAAAAAGTAAGAAAATCTGCTTTGCTTAAAATAGATTTGGTTTTTGGGTTCTTTTTTCCCTTAAGCAGAAAGGCTGTAAGCTATGTCTCCGTGATAATGAAATTATTCACTATTGTGTTCTGGTCCAAAAAAGTTTTTATGCCTTGAAAAAAAGATATGCTTGCAATGTTACTGGTAGACAGAATCCTGACTTCTTTTCAATTCATTCTAACTCAGAAAGATTAACCAGCTACTCACTTTCTCCCACACTTTTAAAGTAAAGACTTCCACGAATCAGTCCTGCTGCTGGTCTGCAAAGACTACCAAAGACAGCACTGCCTTAAAAAGATAGTGTTAACTAGAATTACATTTCCACTAAGAAAAACTAAAGTGACATGCTACTCGGAATAATCCAAAATTCTAGTATTATAACTCCACTTTCAGAAGTGCTTAAAAAAAAAAAAGATGAGAGAAATGAGCAATTCATTTATCAAAAGCAAACTGCTGTGTAAATGATTCATGAATCATAAAGAAAACTGCAAATATAAAGTATTGTTATATATATTTGCAAAAGAAGTTATTTTTTTCCTTGCTTCTTGGCAATAAGAATACAGTAAATATTAGAAACATTTCCACAGCAACCTAAGGTGCACTAGCATTTCATTATTTCTTTTTCTAATCTGTAGAGATATGTTCGAAAAGAAGGACTGGAGAAAAAGATAAAGTATTAAAACAGAACATAAGAAGCATCCATGTTGTTGGCTGGTAAAGAAAAATGAATGTTAAGACTATAAGTTACAGAGAGGTCTAATAGTATAAAAGAAATCTGTTATATATTTACATTAATGAAAAATCACCCTGAAAAAACCAGTATCTTTAAGTTATATTCATTATGACATAATTAATGTAGCACAACTATGAAGGTATACTGTTACATTTCCTAGTAGAAAGACAATCGCATTCCAGTAATATTTTTTTTTATTACAGAAGATATTCTAAAGTATTGGATACTATTTTTAAGATATTGCTTAAGATATTCTTGAAAAGCATCAATATACTTTTCCACAAGTTCCTTCCCCCCCCTTTTTTTAAAAAAGCAAAAAAGCTTTCAGTGCAAACAAAAAAACCCAAGCAAACAAAAAAGTTAGTAAAATTCAACAGCATATTCCCAGTTCACAGAAGACTGCCTCCCTCTTCACCTTTTCCATAGAGTTCTCCTCAGAAAAATTCAAAAAGGCAGTAAAAAGCAAAACAAGCTTGGCTCTAATAGCAAGGAAGATGTCAAGTTGCAGTAATCCCAGTGTTCACCTCTTCAACAGTAGAGAGAGGCTCATTGCTCACAGAGCTGAAGGTAGATTCAAGCCCTAGAGTCAAACTCAGTTAATTAATGATGCAAAAGCTAAATTAGATTCTCATCCACCATTTTATAAGTGCACCAACTCAACAGTACTAAAAGGAATAGAAAATAGCACTGTTATTTCTGTGTGTCTATAGTTATATCAGCATTGAAAAGAAGAGGAATGGTAAGATGACACGTCAGTCAGTCCAGGCTCCAGGGGACAAATAAGAGCACGTGGCACAAGGCTGAGATCTGTGTTATCAAATGATGATTTTCTGAGGTCTTTCTGGGAGAAACCACATCTATCACTTTCTAAAATGACTGCCATATCCTCATACATTTTATAATTTCAAAATCTTCCATAAATACGTCCCAACTTTTTGCTTTGGGTTTTACCCAAACAGTTTGTTAAACTACTATTAACAAACCCCAAGTTACTTATTTGAAAACATATTTTAAAACCTCAAGGTAATTTTCAAAATTAGAGACGTGTCTACAAAGTTTTATGGGATGATTCTATGTCATCAAATCACAATTGGTAGACATGTAATTTAAATTAGTTTACAGAAATAACATTTGTCATTCAAATGCAATAAAGTAAAGCTATCAACTAAAATTAAGAATCCTCTTGTGCCAAATTCAGTAAAAATGAAGCATGACTGTCAGCCCCACAGATCTCGTGGGCCTGGTAAATTACCACAGTACACAAGGAACAGAAAAAAAAATAAATCTATGTAAAACAAAAAATAACCCAGGTTTTTTTATTTAACTGTTTGCTCTAATATCCTTTACTAGAGTAAAAACTCCAAACCCAGACTCAACTGATAGAGTCTACAACTTAAATTCATGAACCATTATTTCCATTATATAAGTAATGCAAAAAACAGCCTGTGTCTATACACTTTCATACTCCAAATGTCATGCAATTTCAAAACAGTATGTTCACACCAGAGCACTGCAACTAAGTATTATATGTATATAAAAATCAAGAAGTTCATAGATCTTAAAATTGTGCAAAAATTGAAATCAAGTAAGAACTGAATGGAAAAATAACATCCCATCTTTCCCAATTATTGGCACCAGCTAACACTAAAAACAAATACAAGGAAAATATTTGGCCAAAAGAAACCAAAAGTCACTGCCAGGCAAAATATTGTACATCTCCACTATTGTTACTGGAACAGGATTTCACTTCTGCTGCTTATGCATTCCCAATACACTTATATTTAACGGATGCAACCATATCAGTTTTACTAATTTTTTATATTTGAAACAATTAATTACTTGCTTTTTTCTTAATACTCATGTGAAATGGCATTGCAAAGAGGAACACAAACAGCCTACTGGGCTTGGGAATGATATCCCTGTTGCTTCCTGCATTCTGAAACCAGCTTGTGTCCTACCAGACATAAAATGCTCATCGCTTTGGCATTTCAATTCCCAAAAGTGCCTTTTCCAAGTCAGGATTAGCAGGGTTGTGACTTTGCAGAGTTCCTACTGCTACAACACTCCAGCACTCAAGACATACACAGCATATGCAATAATCTGTATTTTGGACCAAACCACCAAAACATCAGCAGCTTGACATTACAAAAAAAATCATCCAGAAATTCAAGAATTCTCTTGAAGAACTGTGATTTCAATTCATTTCACTATATGGCAGCTAAGATTCTTAAAATGAGTGTCATCCATGTTGCCAGTTATGCCACAGAAGCCAACAAATAAAGCAATTGTTGAAAGATGACAAAGAAAGCTTTCTTCAGAAAATGATGGTGCATAAAATGCTTGATGCCAAAATTCTGTCAAATAATTTATGCAGCAGCTGTTTTCAAAAGAAACATTCATACACACAACCATGGGGCTGAGGTCAGGTGAGGATGGGATGAGGCAGAAAGCCTGAGCAGGACACTTGGCTGGCAGAGAACCAACCCTCAAAAGCAGGGTCCCTGTCTGACAGATTGGGACCCTCTCACAGAAGCCGTCTCTCCAGTACTTGTGCCTCCTCAGCTCTAGCAAGGGCTTCATCATGTATTTTCCTGCATACAGACAGCAGGGACCACAGAGCTTTAGCCACAGCAACACAACTGATTTATTTACAGGAACTCATTTAAAACTAATATACTTTTTCAAGTCTTACACCATATCATTTTTGTGATACCTGAAAGTTTTAGATCTTTGGGGAGGCAGCAATAGGCAACTTACAGGCCACTGTACCTGAATAACTGGTCTTGGCTTTCTACAGAAACACCTCCCTCCTCCAAAGAAGCCTGTGAATGCCTGCAGGGCAATCATCTCTTACACTAACAGCTCCCTAATGACACACTTGCTGCAGTCCAATAAAGAAGTTCATTCGCCACAGACTTTACTTCTGCATACATCTTCTTCAGACAGACTGAGAGGTTGTCTACACAGCTGCCTGCAAGGCAAGCAAGCCAAAGGAGGAACCAAAACAAGCCATCTATCTCACAAAAAAAAATAAAATAAAATAAAAAGAGCCAAATTCTATAACTAACATATAATAATTGAGATTTGACCAGTGCTATATATCACATGTAGAGTTTTATATACCAACTTTTTTAAACTGTATTTTTACCTTCTTAAAACCACCATTTCCCCCAATCCTCCCTTCCCTGAAATACTTGAGATAGGACTGCTGTCTCTCTGAAAAATAGTTGCAACATAACCAGTACAATTGTTATGCATTAAATATATTTATAGTTAAATATATTTTGAAGAGTGAAGCATTTCTTCCAAACCAGGGTTCATGAAAACTTCAGAGGTATAAATGAAAATCTGGCCATTGCCAACACAGTAGTTAAACAAAAAGAAACACAGACCGTTCGAAGAATATTTGTGCAATGTTTGCAGTTTTACCAGTTAATAAACTGGTATGCTATAGATGTGCTATACAATTTACATATAGTTTCTATTTATTAAGTTTAGTAACCTTACTTCAAATTTTAGCTTCAAAGTACCCATAAATACACTATTTGAAATAACTCTAAGGTGTTCAAAAATCCTACAATGACAGGATGGCCAGTCTTCCACGTACAATCAGATAAAAAGCAAAAATGGAAATTAAGAGTGTGACTCATGCAGGTACTCTGTTGTTTCAAGATGAAAT